ATGAATAGGACAAGTACCTTATAACAGAGCATTTCCATTTACTACCTCCCATCCCTTACAACACTGCTGTCATTTATTTCCATAAGGTTCAATAATCATACTACTTATCCATATGCTGTAATTACCAAATACAAGTTGTTATTATTATTTGTGGCCAAATGCTGTCAGATCAATTAAGGTTAAAAACATTTTTACCTCTACTTATTCCTTCTCTAATGCTTTCTTTCTTTACACAGATCTGAATTTCTGAGCTACGTTATTTAGCTTCTTTTTATTTAGACAGTCTCACTGTTGCCCAGGTTGGAGTGCAGTGGCATGATCTCTGCTCATTGCAACCTCTACCTCCCAGGTTCAAGTGATTCTCATGCCTCAGCCTCCTGAGTAGCTGTGATTACAAGCATGTGTCACCACATCCAGCAATTTTTTTTTGTATTTTTAGTAGAGATAAGGCTTCATCATGTTGGCTAGGCTGGTGTCGAATTCTTGAGCTCAGGCAATCCACCTGCCTCAGCTTCCCAAAGTGCTAGGATCACAGGTGTGAGTCACCATGCCCGGCCTATTTGCCTTCTATCTGAAGAATTTCTTCAACATTTCTTGGAAAGCAGGTCTACTGGCAACAAATTCCCTCCATTTTTGTCTGAGAGTCTTTACTTCCTTTCCACTTTTGAAGGATAATTTCTCAGGTTATAGAATTCTAGGCTGTTTCTTTTTATTTCAATGCTTTTAAAATACTTTCCTCTCTCCTGGCTTCCACGGTTTCTGAAGAGAGGTGTGATGTAATTCTTATCATTGCTCTTCTCTATGCAATGTCTCTTTTTTCCCTCTGGCTTCATTCAAGATTTTGTCTTTGATTTCTGGAGCCTTACATATGATACACCTCTGTAGATGTTTTTGGCATTTGTGCCTGCTTGGCATGTTCTGGACTGCTGTGGTTTTAAAATTTAAATTAATTTAAATAAAACATAAAAATTCAGTTCCCCACTCACACTACAGCCAGTGCTTGACTTATGACCACGATTGGTTCCGACACACTGGTCGTAGCACAATTTGGTCGTAAGTTGAATAGGCTATATGTACAGTACTGTGAAATGATGTTATAAAAATCTTTAAGTCATATTTTATCATAACTTTGTTCATTTTATGCCATTTGTATCATCTCTACACCATTTTGTTTCTTATTTTTACATTCGTCAGGTTTAAGTAAAACACTGCATTACCAGTACAACTGGTTTAATATTTGCAAAACATACAAAATTACAAAATACAGGTGCATACAAAAACACAAAATACAGGTGTAAAAAATACCATAGGAAACATTTTCCCAATTGTAAAACATATCAAAATATATAAACATATACGAAACATTTTATTGGCCGCTGGTGCTTGGCTGCGGGTCATTAATGTCGTCATCTGAGGCAGCAGTTGGGGTTACCGGAGTTGGTTTTTTCATAAACATGGTGAGATTTGTCTGAATTGTATGTTTCTTTTTTTCTTCATAAATTTCACGATACAGACGAAACACATCGTGTGCCATCCGTTCAATCTTTGCAAATCGTTCAATGTTTGGGTCCATTGCTTCGAAATGTATAAGAAGTTTATTGGGAGGGGTTTGATGAAAAATATCCAAGACACAAAACACAAATTGCTGTACCGAGTCTGGGATAACAGTTGAAATGGTGCACACGGAGATGGTAGTGCTGCCAGAAGCTGGTCCGCACTGTCGTAGGCCCAGCTGGGCAACGTTTGCGCTGCCAGACGCGGAGCAGTTGTGGCTAGCGATTGTGGTCGTAAAGTCGAATGGTCGTAAGTTGCATAGGTCGTAAGTTGATCAATGCCTGTAGTTACATTTTAGGCGCTCAACAGCCACATGTGGCTAGTATCTACCACACTGGACAGCCAGGTCCAGACAGTTGAGGAAAGGAGATCAATCTAGGCCTCGTGACAGTGAGTGGCTTGCAGAGGAAAGCATCTCCTGGACTCTGCAGGCACCTGAGGTACCTGCTGCTCCTGTTCACCTCCCTGCCTCTGCTCACACAACCCAGTCCTGCTTTCTGGAGTGTCCCTCCTCTCTGTCCTCAGATTATCTTTATTTTACCCTTTTTTCTCCACCTTAACTTAGGTCCTATCTACTTATAACACCTTTAGAGGGAAAGGAGAATGTGCTTTACTTTGTTGTCTTTAAGAAATATGATCTGAGTCTGTTATCACCATCCAAAGATCCTTCATATCACCAGGCCCAGTGCTGAGCCTCACACTTTTGTAGACTTAATATCTCATCTGATAACACAAAAAATATTAATGAAGGCAGAGAGCAGTGGCTCACGCATGTAATGCCAACACTTTGGGAGGCTGAGGCAGGCAGATCACCTGAGCTCAGGAGTTCGCCCAGCCTGGCCAACATGGTGAAGCCCTGTCTCTACTAAAAATACAAAAATTAGCGGGGTATGATCACAGGTGGCTGTAATCCAAGTTACTCAAGAAGCTGAGACAGGAGAATTGCTTGAATCTGGGGCATGGAGGTTGCAGTGAGCCGAGATCATGCCCTTGCACTCCAGCCTGGGTGATGTGACTGAAATTTCAGCTCAAAGATGAAAGATCTTCTGTCACCATTTTATTCTACCAAGTAAGAAAATGAAAAGCAAAGACAACTGTCTATTGCTGGCATCTCATAAACAGAATGACATTCTAATAGTGTCCTCCCTTTTCTCCCAAAAGGAGGAAACTAAATTTAGCTATGTATTTTTTTTTTCATGGAAGACATCTCTACTAAAAATACAAAAATACAAAAATTATCCAGGTGCGGTGGTACATGCCTGTAATCCCAGCTACTCAGAAAGCCAAGGCATGAGAATCTCTGGAACCTGGGAGGCAGAGGCTGTGGTGAGCCAAGATCACGCCACTGCACTCCAGCCTGGACAAGAGTCAGACTCTGCCTCTAACATAAAATATAATAAAGAAAAACAACACACATGCCTAGGACTTTAAACATTCTCCTTATTTTTCAAGGCTGGCATGTCTGGGAGTGCCCTGGTTGAGGTTAGTGTAGGACTTAGATGAGACTTTAAAGGGACAGAAGTGAAGTGGGACAGGAATATTAAGACCAAAAAGCCTCCTGGTCAACCTTCCGTCCAGAGCATATTCTGCTCTTTTTCCGATGCATTCCACAGGCCTTGCTTTTGTTCAAAATGAGGGCCAGTCTGGGAAAGGCCTGGGAATAGTCAAATCTGCCACAAAGAACAACATGGATGAAGCCTGACTCAAGAAGATGAATACTGAGATACAGAACACAGCCTTCAAGTCTAGGGAATTGGAAGAACCTGGAGGGCCCTAAGAAACTGCTGGATATTACATGGCCATTCCTTAGGTGCCTTGTGGGAAGCACAAGTGATGCTTGGAGTATTAACAAGTCATCAGGCCACTAAGAAACCACTTTCAACTAGGTACATATCCAACACAGGCCCTTGGGGTCAAGAATGTCAAAACTTGTCTGAAAAATTTATTTCTATTTCTCTGAGCTTCATGATTTCACTTTTGTAAACACACCACTTTAAAAAATACTGCATAATCAGCTTTATTGCTGACTGAGAAAACTATGAGAACAGACGGCTTAAATTATCTGTGCAGGCGGAGGGAAAGATAGGGATATTACCTTGCTGGAGGTACTCATTTTTATATTTTGCCCTGGGCCGTCATTCCCTAAGAAATCTTCCTTAAAATAGTGGCTGCAAAATGGAGCCCCGTGTGCTGGATTCAGATTATTCTGTTTGGCCTGTAGAGTTAAAAAAAAACAAAACAAAAAAACAAAAACTGTACTTCCAGCATCTCTTATTAAAATTATATGTGGCACTGGGCTGACAGTGACACAAGACAGCAACTGGCTCTGATAGCTGTTTCCTTTAAAAGCCTTAATTGTTCTTCAATTTGCAAATCCTCGCTATTCTCGGAATACCTGCTTTTGTTCTTGTATCCACGGGCACTGGAGTGCGTGCCAGCTGATCTGGAAGAAGCGCAAGCAAGTCATCTACATGGTGACAAGGGGCGGCCTGAGAGGGGAACGTTCAATCCTACACCTGCCAGAAATGACCTTGGGATAATCACAACCTTCGGTCCTCAGTTTCCTTACCTGTGAAATGGGGCTGACACCGCACAGCTGTGGGAAGCGCTGGCCCAAACGCGGGGCTTGGGGGCACGACCACCATCCCCGCCCACGGGCCCCCGCGCCCAGCCTCTCTCTTCACCCCTCCCTCCACGGGCCCCCGCGCTTCCCGGAGGTCGGCCCCGGGCGCCGAGAGGCGTGGCCGGTCGGAGCGGACCCTCGCGGCGGCCATGGCTTCGGTGGTGGAATACAAGGGCCTCAGGGCTGGCTACCACTGCGGCTACTGCGACTCCAAGGAGGGCAAAGCGTCCTGCGGTGAGTGTCCCCGACGCCAGGGCTGGCACAGCCGCCTCGCGCCCAACCCCTGCCGCGCCCGCCGCGCCTCGGGCAGGCCCTCAGCGGTGGAAAGAGCAGGCTTGCACCCCGACACCCCCGCTTCCCTTCCCCTCTCGACTCTCCCCATCCTGCCCGGTCTCTCCGCCTCACCCTTACTGACGACGGCGGCCCCTTACGGAGAAAGAACGGAAATAGTGGAAAGCTGCCCTCGGTCAAGATGGCGCGGGCGGCGTCAGCCCCAAGAGGCGCCGGGCCGACCGGGCCTGCGGGCGCCCGAGTGGCTTCGTGGGAGCCTCGGGGGGCTCTCGGGCGGCGCGCTGCATTGTGGGGTGGCGGCGGCAGTGGCGGCGACGCTGGGCCGGAAGCCTGAGCGTTCGCCGGGCCGAGGCCATGGCTTTCTGGGCCGGGGGTTCGCCCAGCATCGTGGACTATTTCCCCAGCGAGGACTTCTACCGCTGTGGTTACTGCAAGAACGAGTTGGGCAGCCGCTCCAATGGTGAGCTAGCCGGGACGGCGGGCGTGGGAAGCCGGGTGCCTGGTCTCGGGATCCCGCGGTCCTCCAGCTGGGACGCGAGGCGGCCGGAGTCCCTGGGCGGCCCCAGTACCACGGCCTAGACGGAGGGGTCACCCTCGGGAGGGCCGCGGCGCCGGCTCAGCGGGGCAACTTCGCGGTGCTTGTTCTGCAGGAAAATCCCCACCAGTGCCCGGACCCGCGAGATCGTGATGGTCTCCCCAGAGTCGGGAGACGAATGCCTGTGTGGGGTAGATGGGTGAGGTGAAGGACGGGCACACAGTGCCGGAGAACGCACCTGAGCCGTAATGGCCAGGGCTGACCGGTGGGTGCTGTGGTGGGAGCATCCCGGTAGCGAGGGCGAGACGCGGTGCGGAAAGGAGCTGTGGATGTGCATACAGGTGCCCGTCATGTATGACTCAGATGTCCCTGGACGAACATACATACAGGATGAACCCCTTGCATTTCTGGGTTTAAAAAAAGTTTTTATTTTTTAAAAAAAGACAAACTGGTGACCGAGGTCGCTACCGGCTAGGGGTTCTGTTTGGCCTGATCTGTTTGAAATTTTTACCATTTGCTTATATGCTATGTATTTCCTCCACCCACCCCGACGACAGCAAAGCCAGCCCACAAGTTTGTTTTGTTTTTGCCTAGTGATTCAGATTTCTTTGGGGGAGATTTGTTGTTGATAAACAAAACATCGTGCTTATTTCCTGCCTTGCCAAGCATTGGCCAATATAGACTGTAGAATCTATTACCCTAATGGAACAGCCTGGCATTGTAGAAGACGAAATTTGCATGAAAACACACAGGCATTTTCCATGAAAAGGTGTGAGTGGGGGATGATTTGATCGATAACGGTGTGTGCATTTACTCCTTCATTAAAAGTGTTTATTAAGTGCTTCTTGTGGGCAGCGGTCTTGAGTAGACAGTTATGCTATCATTAGAGGTGAGGATTATGAAGACTAAGTGGAAAAATGCTTCCAGTGTGGAGTTAAACGGAGAAAATCAACAGAATACAAATAGCTTCTGCGAGGTGATTACAGTTCTGGGAGGAAGAAGGCCCAGAAGCACACCAAATACTGACAGTGGTAATATGGCCTTAGAGTAATATGAGTTCCTTCCTTCTCTTTTTCAGAATTTTTGTATTTTGGCTATAATAATTATAAAATCAGTAAGTTACATTAAACGTGCCTAAAGTTAATATCTTAATAGGTCATTGCTTATTTTTTTCCAGTAATTGTGGCAAGAGAAAACTGGCTAACATAAATGTCTTGTATTTCACATTTTGTGGAGGAAATATGCCTGCAACCTTTCCATCAAGAGAAAATAACCATCAATTTCTAGTATCTCAATTTTGATTTTAATACTCTTTATTATGGGGCATCTACTTATTGGGTAGGTGAGTTTTGTTTTTCTTATTTACAGATGATGAAATTGAGGCTCATTGGGTGACTCCTTAGTATCAGTGGGTGCCTGCCAGGTATCCAGATATTTCTGTTGGACTCCAGTGCCGTACCTTTCCCACTACCCACTGTATCCTGCTCTGTCAGTCCTGTCTCTATCGTTACATATCTCTGATGCGATTTACTGTTTACAAAAGAGAAAAATCCATGCCTTTTAACTTTAATTTTTTTTTTTTTTTAAGAGACAGGGCCTTGCTACTTAGCTCAGGCTGGCGTGCAGTGGGGCATTTATAGCTTACTGCAGCCTCAAACTCCTGGCCTCAAGCCTCTTCCCACCTCAGCCTCCCAAGTAGCTGAGACCATAGGCACATGCCACAGAACCTGACTAATTACTATTATTTTTATTTCTTGTGGAAAGAGAGACTTGCTATGTTGCCCAGGCTTGTGTTGAACTCCTGACTTCAAGTGATCTTCTATGTTGGCCTCCCAAAGTGTTGGGATTATAGGCTTGAGCCACCACCGCACCAAGCCTTAGCTTTAGTTCTGATATGCCTTTAAATGTTTCCTCATAGTCTTCTTTTTTTTCCATAGTTGTGTAATTATTCCATCATGTCGATATCATCATAGCCCCTGTAATCATCTTCCTGTTCCTTGGCATTTGAATTACTTTTAATTCTTACACTTAGAAGAAATATTGTTACATACTTTTCTCCAATTTTTAATGCTGAAGACTGCACTGTAAATATATACCTGTATATAAATCAGGAGAACTAACAAGCACAGAACATTTTGCTAAGTTTTCTGAAGAGACCAGCATGTTAAATCATTGGGGATATTACTAAAGTTTGAAGGTCTGATGCATTCTGATTGCAGTGAGGACCTAAATTTATAATGTCATAGAAACTGCTGACTAATCTTCAAATAAATATAATTACTTTGATGTGTTTTTTTGAATTAAAATAAATATACTGTCATTTTTTATGTGTGCTGTATGTGTGTCAGACTAACAGGTGTGAAGTATGTACAAACTTTTCCTTTCTCCAATGTGAGAGTTTTGGAATTTTAACCTAAATACTCCTGTTTTTAAAAATCACACTTTGAATTTAAAAAAGAAAAAAGGTCACCCTGCCCTCATTAACGCACTACTTATTTTTTCAGGCATGTGGGCACATTCCATGACAGTACAGGATTATCAGGATCTCATAGACCGAGGATGGCGAAGGTAAAGCTTCCTGATACAGAGTCTTCCTGCTATTACTCAGGTTCTTGAAAAATACAGCATGCCTTTAAAACGCTTTCATGTTGTTGGAAAGAGGTTTAAGAAAATTTTTATTATATTCTTTTGTGCAGTGATTTTTTTTCTCTCTCTCTTAAAAAACTTCATTAGGAAAATGTCAAATATCCATAAAAGCAAAGAATACATTAGAATGAACCTTAGGTACCTATCACTAAGTTTCAACAGCTGTTAACGTTCTGCCAATCATGTTTGATTCTCCTGTTCCTCCTTTTTTTTTTTTTTAAAGATGGGGTTTCACCATGTTGGCCAGGCTGGTCTCGAACTCCTGACCTCAAGTGATCCGCCCACCTTAGCCTCCCGAAGTGCTGGGATTACAGGCATGAGCCATTTTGCCTGGCACCTGCTCCTCCTTTCAATATTTAACAGCAAATTACATCAGTATTTATTATTACATTTATCCTATGAGTAGATCAGCCCTAAGTATGTATCTCTAAGAGAGGGGTCTTTTTTTCTTTTTAACTTACCCATACTGCTGTTGTCACACCTTAGAAAATTAATAAAAAATTATTTGATGTTACCTGTTACCTACTTTTTATTAGATTTTCCAGATTGTCTCAAAAATGTCTTCTTTAACTGTTGGTTTATTTGAATAAGGATTTCATTAAGGTCCACACATGGCCTGTTTCGAGTAGTTATTTTTATGTAGATGATTTTTAAGTAACTCTTAAAGTTCCTTGTGTAAATATAAGTAATACTAAATACCGTATGCTAATACTCACCAAAAGACGTGGGATTGGGAGCACCAGCTGAAACATCACAACTTTCCTTAAACTTAATGAGATTCAGAAGGTAGACATAGGTCAGATTTTAAAGGACTTTGTATGCCATGATATGGAATTTTTTTTTTTTTTTTTTTTTTTTTTTTTAGAGATACAGTCTCGCTCTGTTGCCCAGGGTGGAGTATAGTGGCATTATCATAGCTCACTGTAACCCCAAATTGCCACACTCAGGTGATCCTCTTGCCTTAGCCTCTCCAGTGGCTAGGACTACAGGTGTGCATCACAACATCTGGCTAATTTTTAAATTTTTTTAAAGATCTTGCTGCGTTGTCCATGCTGGTCTTGGGCTCCTGATTGTAGGTGTTCCTCCAGCTTAGCTTCTCAAAGTGTTGGGATTATAGGTGTGAACCACCATGCCTGGCCAGAACTTTTAAAAGGTAGAAGGCAGTCATGGAAGGATTTTATGGTAAGAGAGAAATGTGACGGAATTTGGTTTAGAAAACATTGTTCAGTTGGCTGAGAGGTATTTGAGGGGATGGTCATAGAGGCAGGAAGATGAGTTCAGAGGTTATTTCATTATCAAGATGTGTGATGACGAGGACTGGCATATTAGTTGGAATGGCAATAGGAGGGGACAATTTAAGACAGGGTTTAAAATGGGAAAGCTTGCTAACAGGATATAGAGGTGAATTCCAGGGAAGAGTCTAAAATGACTCCCAGGTTTCTGACTTGAGAACAGAATGAGGGTTCAGTTACTACCATAGATCTGGAATGCGTGGAAAGAACCGGGTTAGTTTTGGGCTACTTTGTACTGGCGCATGTGGAATACCCAAATGTGGTTGTAACAGACAGCACATGCATGAGCCCCACAGGATCGTGGGCGTTTCTCTCATTGCCCTTGTGGTATTAAGGATGGGTGGCAGATGCTGGTGAGAGGTTAACTGCGGTGACTGGCCTTGGGGTACACAAGTAGAGCTTTAGGAAATAAAAGGCTGGGTTCTAAACTTTGGTACACCTACTTTGAAGATTATTTGGCTTATGAAGAGTAATTAAACCTACATGCATTTCTATAATATTGGTTAGATTTTTTACCCTTAATTTTATGCTTCTGTGCTAGTCTATTTTGGTATGTGTGAAAAATATATAAGACATTAACAAACTATTTTTATAATTTTAGAAGTGGAAAATATGTGTACAAACCTGTCATGAATCAAACATGTTGTCCTCAGTACACAATAAGGTAAGAATTTTAATTAGTAGAGGATCTACAATATGAAGATTGTGTATAATTTTTTAGTCATCTCTTGTGCTTTTTAAGTTTTTATTTCTACTCTAGGTAGATGTCCTTTAAAAGGAAAAGCAAATGAGTTATGTCTTTTCTACATACTGATGCTATATTTATGTGTTCATCAGTAGTTTTTAGTAATACTGTTTGATTGGCTCAGATATAAATATGTGAAAAAATACCCTCTTAATTTAGCAATCTTGTCAATGAATGCCATGAAATATTGGGAAAATGTTGGTAATACATTACTTTTGGATGCTAAATTTTATAGGACTTAGCTTAAGATTTTCTACATTCTGGTATATTGCTTGACACAGCGCTTGTAGTACAATACTGCAAGCTCCTATAAATTACTTAGTAGGGGCATGTTCTCCTAAGTGGGAGCTAAACCTTGGGTACTCAAGGACATAAAGATGGCAAAAGTAGAATCTGGGAACTATTAGAGGAGGAGGGAGGGCATGAACTAAAGGTTGAAAAACCAACTTGGTTATGATGATCAGTACCTGGGTGGAAGGCTCCTTCATATTGCAAACCTCAGCGTCAGGCGGTATATCCAGGTAACAGCCTGTACTGGTAACCCCTGAATCTAAAGTAAAAATTGAAAAAAAAATTAATTGGAAGGAAGAGGCCTTACATTTAATCTGCCACCTACATTCAGAGTCCAGTTCTCTTTTTTTGTTTTGAGATGGAGTCTTGCACTGTCATCTGAGCTGGAGTGCAACGTCTCAAATCTCGGCTCACTGCAACCTCTGCCTCCTGGGTTCAAGCAATTCTCCTGCCTTAGCCTCCCGACTAGCTGGGATTACAGGGGTGCACCACCACGCTCAGCTAATTTTTTTGTATTTTTAGTACAGACGGGGTTTTGCCATGTTGACCAAGCTGGTCTCGAACTCCTGGACCTCAGGTGATCTGCCCGCCTTGGCCTCCCAAAGTGCTGGGATTACAGGCGTGAGCCACCAGGCCTGGCTGGGAGCCTTCTCTTTTACCTGACTGGCCGTAGGATTGACAGAGGATGAGAAAAATGGGGTCTGGTGTGCTGACATTGTCTCATTACATAAAGGATAGAGTGACAGAGTATCTTGTGCTGTCCTCTTTCAGCTTTCGTGGTTATAAAGAGAAGATGTCTTTTAAGGCAGAAGTCATTTGTCTTCAATTAGCAATTTATGGATTATGGGCAGGATTCTATTCATAAATTTGAAGTTTATTGGCCTAATCTTTATGATAAAAAAGTGGGATTTCGGTTGGTTAAAGAAAAAGATTCAAGAATCTATTTGGTGCCTGTTACATGGAAAGCAGTATTCTAGGTATATTGCCTTTATAAAAGGGGATTCAGTGAACATTGCAAAACAAAGTAGTTACGTGATTTTTGCATTTTACATGGCATCAAATGTTTCCCGAATTGCTTCTCTTTGTAATTTCATTATACATCTTCTGATGGAGTCATTTTCCATGTTTACTCTTCTGGATATTTTTCACCTTGTATATAGCAGTAGTTACAGTGAGAACTTAAATAAAGGAAGCTTATAGCTACAGTTTAGCTTCTTGTTAGAACAAGAAGTCAGGACTCCCCAGTATGTATGTATAAACGAGAATGAACTTCTCTGGCTGTGGTTTTTGTTTTGCTTTGTTTTTATTTTTATCAGAATTACACATGCTCAAAATTTAAAGTATTAAGTTTCAGTAAAGCTTGTTTTGGAAAAAGCAGTCCTCCAACCCCCCTTTCCCATTTCCTGTTCCCCCATGGCAGTCATCTTAAAACATTTGAACTAATTTTTTAGGTTTTTCATCTTCCTGTCTTTAAGCAACATGCTTATATAATTGTAACCCTTGATTTTTCTTTCTTTTTCTTTAGTTTTCTCCATTATTTCCAGGCTTCTCTCTATGGAAGATAAGGATTTAGTTTTCTCTTACCCCTGTTTCCCTGCCACATTCAAGCTCTTTTTTGTCTCCATCCCAAGCTTTCCATTTAGAAGTCATAATTTTGGGCAGATGTATTCATTCACATCATTGTGACTGTGTAAATATGCTTCACAGCTGAGCCATGGTGGGTACTATGATTACTTTTCCTTTCCTGTACAAGTTTTTGCTCTCCTTAGAGTTATTATCTTTTTTGTTTGCATAGTCTGTATAGCTATGAACAGATTATTTTGAAAATAAATCCCAGTTATGTAAGTTTCTTCTTAGTATGTTTAAATGCATCAGCTTTTTTTTTTTTTTTTTTTTTGAGACGAGGTTTTGCTCTTGCTGCCCAGGCTGGAGTACAATGGTGCAATCTCAGCTCACTGCAACCTTTGCGTCACGGGTGCAAATGATTCTCCTGGCTCAGCCTCCTGAGTAGCTGGGATTACAGGCACCCGCCACCATGCCCGGCTAATTTTTATATTTTTAGTAGAGTTGGTTTCATCATGTTGGCCAAGCTGGTCTTGAACCCCTCACCTAAAGTGATTCATTTGCCTCGGGCTCCCAAAATTTAGGGATTACAGGCGTGAGCCACTGCGCCTGGCTTGGACTATTCTTTTTATTGTCATCTTGGGGATTCTTTTTAGTGCCTGAGTTGGAAACCCTTCCTTCTTGGACTGTTCCCTTGTTTTAGTGAAGCAAATCTTCTAATAGAAAAAGTGCGTAAGATACATTTTTGAGACCTTGTGTGTCTGCAAACATTGATTCACTGTTCAAACTTTAGTTTGGCAGGGTACAGGAATGTAGGATGAAAATAATTTTCCTAGAATTTTGAAAGCTTTGTTCCACTATTATTACTGTTGAGAAGTGCAGTGGTATTCTGAGTCTCGTACTTTTGTCTGAAACGTGTTCTTTCTCTTTGGAAGCTTTTCTATCCTCTGTTCTTACATTTCATAATCCGTTTGGTTCTGTATCTGTTTTGTCAATCACAGGGGAACTGGAGGGGCCCTTCTTTCCTGGGAACTTGTCCCATCTTATCCTTTAAGGATAAGGGAAAATTTAAAAAATTTTTTGTTTTATCTTCTCACCTCCATTTTCTTCTTTTTTTAATGCCTTTGTTTAGATTTTGGACCTTTTAAACTGGTCTCTGATTTTACCTTTTCTCTTCAGTTTTTCGTATCTTTTTTGCAGAATCTTCTGGGACATTTTTTCAACTTTAGTTTTCAGGTCTTCTACTTAATTTTTAAACTTCTCCTGTCATATTTTTACTTCTGAAGGTCTTTTTGTTCTCAGACTCTTGTTTGTTTGTTTGGTTGATAACAGCTTGTTACTTTATGGGTGTAGTGGCTTAAGCAATGAGATCTTTTTAAGGATTTTTTTTTAAAAGGTTCTTTTCTTTCTGCCATGGTCTGTGTCTGCCAAGTTACTTTCTCCAGTTTGTTTGGCACCTGTTTTTTCAGTAGAGACTCTCCTTGAGTGTCTGGTGATTATGACTTTTCAGTGTTCCATTGGAAATTCTGTGTACCTGATGAGTTTTGTTCATTGTGGGCCATGGATATTTCTTGCCTTGTTTACGGTGGGTGATCTGGCTGGCTGTTCTGTTGGGGAATCCCTGATGTTAGTATTTTAGGTCTGATCACATTCCGGAGAGAAAGTATTACATAACCTGCTGTTGTTCTGGGGCTGGGTTGGTGATCTCAACATGTACTATGTACACTTTCATTTAAGCTGCTTTCAGCTGTGGCTTGCATCCATCCTGTAAGTGGCTCTATTTTTTACTCTTTCCTGAAATATTGCAGTTTTCTGCTGGGTTGAGTAGTGGGGAGCCTGGGGTGGGAGAGGGGATCTGACATCTGTTCTAACTGCTTCAAAAACAAGACTTTAAAGGGATATTTCTATTTCTAGGCCTACTTTCACTCATATTTCCAGAGGCATCAGGTGTCAGCAATCCCTAAGACTTTTAAGGGTAATATAGAGAAAACTGGCTTTTTTTTTTTTTTTTTTCCTTTTTTTTTTTTTTTTTTTTTTTTTTTTTTTTTCACTGTTGGCCTAGGATTCAACTTTCTTTGGTCTGTTAAAGCAGAATTGCCACTTGTACATCTGTTTTCCAGCTTCTAACACTTCTCCCCTTCTCTTTTTTCTAGTGTTTTATGTCTTTCTCTTTTTTAAAAAAAAATCTCACAACTATAGTCTTAGTGTGATATGGGCTGGGATTAGAGGCTACATGAAGCCCCATCTTTAACCAGAAATCTCAGGCATGGGGTTATCTCATTGTACTAGATAATATCCAGAGTTGATCTTATTTCTTCGAGGTTTGAGTTCGCTTTTTAAATATTTATTTTGCTTTCCTAGGTGCCGACCTTTACAGTTTCAGCCTTCAAAATCTCACAAGAAGGTTTTGAAAAAAATGTTGAAATTTCTGGCTAAAGGGGAGATTCCCAAAGGAAGTTGTAAGGGTAAGATGGGCTGGGTCTAAAAACTATTTACTGTCCATGTTTGCAGGGGTCCCACTTTCAGTCATCTTAAGTTAGGTAGGGGAAGGGTAATTAATACGGTCATGTACTACAATGACAGTGGCTACTGTGAGCACCGCTATTACTGTTACCATGGGCCCCCAAATCAAGGTATAGGGAATATGTATCAGAAGAGTTTGGAAAGAATATAGAGGATCATGTGAAAGATGTGATTTCCTGGAGTTTATCAAATGTCAGTTTCTAGAATGCTTTGATAATTCACCTTTCTTGATCCTAATACTATCCTTATGAAGTAAATAGAAAGTGGCATTGTCTCTCAAAAAGCAAATGCTTACATGTAGCTTGTGCAAAATTGCACTGTTCTTTTAATGGTGAATAAAGATCAGATTTTCTTTGTTTGAATAAGGCTTTACTTCAGTAAATTATGCTGTCTTCAGTTCTCTTTTTTGATCAATTTTGAGTGGCTTTGCTAAAAGATAATTAATAGCATTCATTTAACTTTGGTTATGGATGATTTGCTTTTTTTCCGTTAGGTTTGTTCACTATTTTTGGTTTTATTTAAGTTTTCTTATTGGCAGTGGCTGACGTGTGAGCATAAAAATTGGGATTGCTGTTCTTAGAGCTCCTCTTCACTGTTGCCATAGGAAATGCCTCATCCTGGGTCCCTCTCATTTTAGCCTTAGCTTATTCATTCATTCCACAAATACGTTTTTCTTTTAATTATTTTTTATTTTTTTAAAAATAGAGACAAGGTCTCTTTATGTTGCCCAGGCTGGTTTCAAACTCCTGGGCTCAAGCAGTCCTCCTGCCTTAGCCTCCCTGACTGCTGGGATTTACAGGCATGAGCCACCACATCTGACCCTACAAATATGTTTTGAATGCCTACAATGCCTCAGTCACTGTTTAAATAAATACTGGCGGTACAGTGACCATCAAGGCAGGTAAGTTCTTTAGCCTCATGCACAGCTCTTAATGGACCAGGATTCAGGACCTTGGAGGAGCTTTGCAGAGCTGGGTCAACAAAGAGGCCAGACATCTTTTAGAGGTTCAAGGGCACTTAGAGCATCAGAAACCTCAGAATTTTGGTGTAGCTCTGATAAATATTGTAGTGCATAACCTTAAAGGTAAAATAGATTTTATTGACTAGTCAATTTACAAGTATTTTGGTGACCAGGAATCATGTTCTGGACTGGGCATGGTGGCTCACAGCTGTAATCCCAGCACTTTGAGAGGCCAAGTTGGGAGGATCCCTTGAGCCCAGGAGTTAGAGACCAGCCTGGGCAACGTGGCGAAACCCTGTCTCTGCTAAAAATACAAAAATTAGCCAGTCATGGTGGTACATGTAGTCCCAGCTACTTGGAAGGCTGAGGCATGAGAATCAGGGAGGTCAAGACTGCAGTGAGTCAATATCATGCCACCGCACTCCAGCCTAGGTGATAGAGCAAGACTCTGTCTGCACAAAAAAAAAAAAAAAAAAAAAAAAAAAAAAAAAAAAAAAAAAAAAAAAAAAAAAAAAAAAAAAAAAAAAAAAAAAAAAAAAAAAAAAAAAAAAATTTCACATGGAGCTAAGCGTTGAAGGTATTGTCTACTTGTAAATTGGTAGTTGGTGGTTGCTTGTCTTTCCTATGTAGTGTTTACATTTGGTTCTTTATTTGACTTGTTATAGGCTTCTGAATTATCTGTGCCTGGAACTTAATTCTTAGGAGTGATGTACTCATTAGGGTAAAGGAATAAACGGCTATGACAAAGAAACCAAAATGCAATAACTAAAAAAAAAGATAAAAGTCTGTTTCTTTCCTCACATAATAGTTCAGTGTGAGTGTTCTAGGTTGGCTACAGCTCTGCTGCCCACCAGTCATTCTGGGACTTTCTTAACATGATTTCCCAGGTTGCTGTGGTTTTTTACTGATCTAGCCATTGGGGGGAAAGGGTAGAAGTTCAGGGTCACAAGCTTCCTTTAAAACTAGTAAAGCACAGTTGGACATATCAGTTATGTTATGTGCCATTGGCAGGAGCTTGGTCACCTCTGGTAAAGGGTCTGGTAGTATATTCCCCTGCTAGGGTGCCACATTTTTTTTTTTTTTTAATTTTTTGTAGAGATAGTGTCTCACTATGTTGCCCAGGCAGGTCTTAAACTCTTGGCCTCAAGGCCTCAAGCAGTCCTCCTGTGTTGGCCTCCCAAAGAACTGGGATTCCTGGCATGAACCACCACGCCCAGCTGTGCCACAATGTTAAGTGCAGCTCTCTTATTTTGGAGGATGAGTGGATTTGGTGGCCAGATAGTAATTCTGCCACAATGGGTAATAGGGACATTCTATTTCTGTATTTATCTTAACCGTGTCAAATGACCCAGCTGATGGATTTTTAATTTCTTCTGATTTGTAGATGAGCCCATGGATTCCACAGTGGATGATGCTGTTGTGGGTGACTTTGCATTGATAAATAAATTGGATATACAGTGTGATCTTAAAACGCTCAGTGATGACCTCAAAGAGAGTTTAGAGAGTGAAGGAAAAAACTCCAAGAAAGAAGAACCTCATGAATTACTTCAGTCACAAGATTTCGTAGGAGAGAAGTTGGCCTCTGGTGAACCATCACATTCAGTTAAAGTTCACACAGTTCCTAAGCCAGGTAATAAAGATTTTTCATATCAAGGCCTATTCACTGCTTTTCTTTTTGCTGAGTCATTTTAAACCCTAGGTCTTTCCATCAGGCAAAAGGGTGACTTATTCAAGCAATCTGTAAAACAGAACCCTGCTTTATTTATTACTGGCTAGAATTAGACAAATCATGCGTTTTATAAACTACTGTGCTTGAAAAGCCTGAAATAATAGCCGTATCCCTAAATACAGACATTTTAAAATGTGGAGCCTTACAGGGTTGAGAATCAAATTTTTGTCGGGGAAAAGTTGTGATAAACATTCTTATTTTAGCATTAAATGAGACAACATGAATTATAGGTATTATGTCCAAAATACATTATAAAATTCTTCAGTTTATCATTAAATTTTTAAAGGCAATTGTAGTATATTTTAGTTTTAAAATGTCCAGATTTTGATGTTTAACTTTGCCTTTTGTCAGGAAAGATTTTTTTTTTTCTATGTCAGTACTTATACAAGAATAAGACTTATAAAGTTTATCCAGTATTAAATGGGTTTAATATGTGTATGTATGACTCTCAAAATTATTTCATAAAATGTGAAGTTGGATGGTTATTAGTTTGTTAGATGGCATCAGTTTTTGAATTAGTTCTTATGTTTATGGAAAACGATCCAAGGGAAAGACTTTTAGTACTGTTTTAGTTTTTCTTGTCTAAACTATGTTACACATGTTAAAGTAGAGAAAATTCTCCATTTGCAATTTTATTGAATAGTTTTTTACATGAACTTTTCATGGTATTTAAATTGATTTTGGTCTGAGATTTCATCCTAATTAAGGGTAATAGTTCAATAAAATATTTATTTTTAAATTTGAGGCAGGGTCTTGCTCTGTTGCCCAGGCTGAGGTGAAGTGGTGTGATCATAGCTCACTACAGCCTTGAGCTTCTGGGGCCAGTTTTCTTCTTGCCTTAGGTTCCTGAGTGGGTGGAACTACAGGAACTTGTCACCACACCTAGCTATTCTAAAATTTTTTGTAGAGATGGGGTCTCACTATATTACCCAGGCTGGTCTCCAACTCCTCACCTCAAGTTATCCTCCCACCTTGGCCTCTCAAAGTGTTGAGATTATAGGTGTGAGCCGCTGTGCCCAGCCCCTAGTAAAATATTTTGAATGATTTAGACAGTTTCTTTCAATTATTTCTCTCTTGGAGGTAGGGTCAATTCTTTTATTTATTCTTTTTTAAATAAAGTTACTTATGGTTTGTCAATTTTTAAAATCTTTGTTATTCAAACATAGGTGAACGTAGATTGAATAGTATAATGGACTTCCATGTACTCTACCTGCGTTTGGAAAGATTACTGACTCACAATAGCCACTCTTGTGTCATCCAGTTCCCCCTTCCAAAATTATATTGAAGCAAACCCCAGACATTGTGCTATCCTATATTTCAGAATACATTTCTAAAAGATAAGAACTTAAAAAAAAACATATTCACAATACCATTATTATATTTGAATAAAATTTCTTAATGCCATTGAATCTTCAGGGTTCAGATTCCATTTTTAAGCATTTGTTTGTGTCAGGATCCAGACAGTGTCCACATATAGTGATTGTTGATACATTTAAAAAAATCTCTTTTGGCCAGGCGTGGTGGCTTACACCTGTAATCTCAGCACTTTGGGAGACCAAGGCAGGTGGATTGCTTGAGCCCAGGAGTTTGAGACCAGCCTGAACAATATGGTGAAATCCGTCTCTACTAGAAATACAAAATATTAGCCAGGCATTGTGGCGCACAGCTGTAGTCCTGGCTACTTGGGAGGCTGAGGTGGGAGGATCGCCTTGGCTTGGGAAGTCGAGGCTGCAGTGAGTTGAGATCGAGCCAGTGCACTCCAGCCTGGGTGATGAGAATGAGACCCTGTCTCAAAAACAAACAAACAAACAAACAAACAAACAGAAAAACCTTTTTTGTTCTGGAGGTTCCCCTTCCATTATTCCTCTATTGGGTTGTTTGTCTCGGTTATTTGTTCCACTTTCTGTGTCGACTGGTTACATTTGCAGTTTAACATGTTCCTCTGCCTGCTTGTAATTTGATTGTTGGATATAGAGCCTTGATCAGATTCTAGGCTAAATTTTCTTTTTTTTTTTTTTTCGTGGTGGGGCAGGGTGGCAAGTCTTAATCAGATTTGAGTTTCAATTATTTGAGGATGGGCAAGATTACTTCATGGGTTTAGAGTGGTCTTTCAGGGGACGTGTAATGTCTGGGTGCCTCTCTTTTTAATACTAATAGTCATGAATATTCCATGCTTAAACTCATTCATTAGAATGAGGCACCATCTTGGCTCACTGCAGCCTCTGCCTTCCTGGTTTAAGTGATTGTCCCACCTCTGCCTCCTGAGTAGCTGGGACTACAGGTGTACACCACCACACCTGGCTAATTTTTGTATTTTTAGTAGAGATAGGGGTTTTGCCATGTTGGTCAGGCTGGTCTTGAATTCCTGGCCTCAAGGGATCCACCTGCCTCGGCCTCCCAAAGTGCTGGGATTGCAGGGATGAGCCACTGTGCCCGGCCATACGTTTTATCTTTATTTTTTTTATTTTTATTTTTTTTGACCTTTGTAGTTTCTTTCTTCTACCCTGAGAGAAACGTAGTCCTCAGGAACACTGGGGATGGTAGAATTAGATTAGAATATCACACATTAACCTTTTGCTTTTTCCCATATTACACAGCAGTTTTAGAATGACAACCGTATACTTCCAGCATTATGGTTACTGAAACATTAAAAACTATTTTTGCAGGTTTTTTTTTTCCCTTAAGATATCTTTTGGCTGGACATGGTGGCTCATGTCTGTAATCCCAGCACTTTGGGAGACTGAGGCGGATGGATCACCAGGTCAGGAGTTCGAGACCAGCCTGGGCAACACAGTGAAACCCTGTCTCTACTAAAATACAAAAAATTAGCTGGGCGTGATGGCAGATGCCTATAATCCCAGCTACTTGGGAGGCTGAGGTGGGAGAATCGCTTGAACCCAGGAGGCAGAGGTTGCAGTGAACTGAGATCGTGCCACCATACTCCAGCCTGGGCGACAGAGTGAGACTCTGCCTCCAAAAATAAGCAACATATCTTTCAGTAAAAATCTGAGACTGTCTTAAAATCCTTGGATTTTGGCCGGGTGCAGTGACTCACACCTGTAATCCTAGCACTTTGGGAGGCTGAGACGGGCGGATCATAAGGTCAGGAGTTGGAGACCAGCCTGGCCAGTGTGGTGAAACCTCATCTCTACTAAAAATACAAAAATTAGCCAGGCGTGGGTGTGCGTGCCTGTAATCTCTGCTCCTCAGGAGGCTGAGGTGGGAGAATCATTTGAACCCCGTGGGGGAGGTTTCAGTGAGCAGAGATTTCACCACTACACTTGGAGGCTGACTCTGAGGCTGGAGTACAGTGGTGACATCTTGGTTCCCTGCAACCTCTGCCACCTGGATTCAAGCAATTCTCCTGCCTCTGTTTGCTTTTGCAGGTTTTTAGGAACCTGCAAAAGCAAAACTGCATTTCCTTTTTAATTTTTTTTTTTGAGACAAGGTCTTACTCTGTCTCCCAGGCTGGAGTGTAGTGACACAATCAGGACTCACTGTAGCCTTGACCTCCTGGGCTCAAGCAATCCTCCTGCCTCAGCTTCCGGAGTAGTTGGGACTATCAGTGCATGTCACTACAGCTAGCTAATTTTTTGTATTTTTAGTAGAGACGGGGTTTCAACATGTTGCTCAGGCTGGTCTTGAACTCCTGGATTCAAGTGATCGGCCTGCCTCAGCCTCCCATAGTGTTGGGATTATGGGTGTGAGCTACCATACCTGGCCTAAAAAAGTCATTTGTGGAGATGAGGTCTTGCTCTGTTTCCCAGGCTGGTTGGGCACTCCTGGGCTTAAGGAGTCCTCTCATCTTGGCCTCCCAAAGTGCTAGGATTATAGACCTGAGCCACCATGGCTAGCCTGCATTTTCATCTTAATCTAAAAAATGTTACAAGTCTATTCCTTTGGACTTAATTAGAAATTATGCAGGGCTAAACTCTATTCAAATCATTTGGGACTAATCTGGAATTCTTGAATGGCTTTGAACCTCTGTGAGTGCAGGGTTGGTATAGTATGCTGATTTTACACTGATGATCTATTTCCATGCTGTCAAAGGAATTTATTGACCTGGGAGGTTCATAAAATATGATATCCCCTAATATGGCGAAATCCTCCTTTTTTTTTTTTTTTTTTTTTTTTTTTTTTTTGTTTGAGTTTTTTTCTGTCACCAGGCTGGAATGCAGTGGCATGATCTCAGCTCACTGCAGCCTCTGCCTCCCAGGCTCAAGCAATTCCCCTGCCTCAGCCACCAGAATAGCTAGGACTACAGGTGTGCGCCTCCACGCCCAGCTAATTTTTGTATTTTTAATAGAGATGGGGTTTCACCATGTCGGCCAGAATGTTCTTGATCTCTTGATCTCGTGATCCACCTGCCTCAGCCACCCAAAGTGCTGGGATTACAGGCATGAACCACTGTGCCCAGCCAAAAGCTTTTAATTTTGATGAAGTCTAACTTACCTATTTTTTCTTTGGTTGTTTGTGCTTTTGGTGTCATCGCTAAGAAACCATTGCTTAGTCCAAGATTAATATTTCTGTGTTTCTTTTTAGTGTTGCAGTTTTGACTCAAATTATTTTAGAGGATGTGCTTTCATTTCTAGATGACTTGCTTTTATTTTGTTTATGTTGCTGATTGTAGTGCTTCATGGAGGTTTGTGCATGTAAAAATTTTTCAACTATTTCATGCTACTTTAAAACAATATGCACTATTTCGTAGTGTAGTTCTTTTTCTCTCGCTCTCTTTATGTCTATCTATCTATCTATCTATCTATCTATCTATCTATTTATCTACCTACCTATCTATATGTAGATGCTCCTCAACTTAAAGACAGGCTTATGTCCCATTAAGCTTTAGAGCTTGGTTCACTCAGCAGCTCAAAAGTGTCCTCGAGGACTCAGGTTTTTTCTCTGTCCTCTCTGCCATTCTTATCATATAGGCTGGTTCCCTCATGGTAGCAAGTTGGCTGCAGCAGCTCCAGACATCACATCCTTACCATTCAGAGGCAGAAAAAGAACTGTTTCTTCCTCGCAGGTATCTTTTTAAAAGCAAGAAACTTTGTCTGAATCCCCATCCCCAGCTAACTTCTGTTGGCCTGAAATGGATTATAGGTCCAACCCTAAACTATTCATTGGCAAAGAGAATGAGTGTACACGAATGTCTTAGAACAACCAGAATTTACCCAAGTTACCTATGGGGAGACGGTAGACTCTGAACCAAAAATTCAGCTCAGCTAGCAGGAAAGGGGGACAAGGCTGTTGACTGGGTTTCCAGTACTATCTGCTGCAACTTTGGCCCCACCAGGGTGCTGGCTGATTCCCGTCCCAAATCTACAGCTGGAGAGTTTTAGATCCATTAGCAGGATTTATCAGGCTTTCATCTACTTATCTCTTTGGAACTGAAATGGAACCATCTTCTACCTCTCTATCCTGGCTGTGTAATGCTCTCCACAAATGTAGCTTTAAAAAAATGATATTCTAGCCTCCCCTTCCCATCTCTGCCCCTATCTGTATTTGCAAGGAACATTGCCACCTCCTACAATGCTTCACCACTCCTCTCACTTTGCGCTTAGGTCTTTTCTGGGAGCTGCCATCTCAAAGTGAATTTCCGCCGAGAAGCGCCCCTGGGGGACAGGGAAGAGCACTTTTCCTCGAAAGCAGCTCTGCACTAGAGTGCTGGCTGTGCATTGTCCACTTGACAAAGACCTGGCTTTTTTTTTTAGAGGGTCAGACACTGAGGGGAGGAATAAAGGATTTTTCGAGTTATTTTTAGAATGGGAGGCAATGCCACTCTGTGGGCAGTATAGCCTGGGGGTTTATTACAGTCGCACTTTTTGATCTAGTCCCACTGGCTTGATTGTAAGTAGAAATGTGCCACTCTACTCTCCAGCCCCCATTCTGGCGATCAGCTGTCAAGACTAGTTTATGGTGATGGTGTGGGTTTTCAACTCTTACTGTGTCTCTATGTTTTAATTGGAATTTGGGAAAAATATGCAGTGGAGGCTGATAGATGTATATACCGTCTAAGACTAGAAGCCACATCCACTCCCTTGTCAAAGCCTGAGCCACATACTTCCCGTCTCCAATTCCTTGCCTTATTGCTCTCTGATCTCTGCTTTCCTCAATCCCCCAAAGGCAGCAGGAACGTTCACTTTATGAAAGCCAGAGGGAAATTTGAATCATCATCTTACTCTGTCTCTTCTCGACATAAGACACTGCCCAGCGCCAGCTCCTCTTGCTGGAATGCTGGTGCCAAGTGCTAGCTCAGTCTCTCATACACATTACTTCATAAAATTCCCACAACACGCCTAGGAGGTGTCATCATTGTTCCCATTTTACACACGGGGAAACTGAGGCTCAGGGAGTAAGATCACTTGNTTTTTGAGACAGAGTCTCCCTCTGTTGCCCAGGCTGGAGTGCAGTGGTGCCATCTGAACTCACCACAACCTCTGCCTCCCGAGTTCAAGTGATTCTCATGCTTAGCCTCCTGCGTAGCTGGGATTACAGGTGTGTACTATCACACCTGGTTAATTTTTGTATTTTTAGTAGAAACAGGGTTTCATGGGCGGGCACGGTGGCTCACGCCTGTAATCCCAGCACTTTGGGAGGCTGGGGTACATGGATCATGAGGTTAGGAATTTGAGACCAGCCTGGCCAACATGGTGAAACCCCATCTCTACTAAAAATACAAAAAATTAGCTGGGTATGGTGGTGTGTGCCTATAATCCCAGCTACTCGGGAGGCTGAGGCAGCGGAATTGCTTGAACCCAGCAGATGGAGGTTGCAGTGAGCTGAGATCGTGCCACTGCACTCCAGCCTGTGTGACAGAGCGAGACTCCGTCTCACAAAAAAAAAAAAAAGGAAAAAAGAAACAGGATTTCCCCATGTTGGCCAGGCTGGTCTCAAACTCCCAACCTCAGGTGATCTGACTGCTTAGCTTCCCAAATGCTAGAATTACAGGTGTGCAAGGATTCTTTCATTTAAAAAATCCTGCCAGAGTTTGTGCTGGGATCAGTATTCCTTTACACTTGGTTCCTAAGTATTTATCTATGTTAGCAGTGCTTTCAGAGAAATGGCCCTCAGAAAGGTTGGGCAGAGATAGCAGTGTCCTTTTAAAGCTGGAGATACTTTGATTTGATTATGTTCTTCCTCACAGAGGCAGAGAAGTAGATGGAAGTGTTTTTTAAAGAAAATATTTTCAGCAGTAAGAGCCTCCTTGGAAAGTTTCTGTGCTATATTTACTTTTCCTTGGCAACTCCCGCTTCTAAGGTAGAATTTTAGATCAACTTACAGCTCTGTGTCCGGATCCTCAGAAACATCTACCCCAAAGCTAGCCTAACCATTGGAATGCTTTGGACTTACTCTGTAGAATCTTTGAGACATGTGAAAAAACTTTTCCGGAGCCAAGTGTGATTGGTCTAACATTTTAAAATTCTTTTTAGGCAAAGGGGCTGATTTGAGTAAGCCTCCCTGTCGAAAAGCAAAGGAAATCCGGAAAGAAAGGAAAAGGTTAAAACTCATGCAGCAGAACCCAGCTGGAGAACATGAGGGTTTCCAGGCTCAAGGTCAGCCACCATCTTTGTTTCCAGCAAAGGCTAAATCCAACCAGCCCAAAGCACTTGAAGATTTAATTTTTGAATCTTTACCAGAGAATGCATCACACAAGTTAGAGGTACTTTGGAGGACTTTTGTTATTTGTTTTATTATTTTTTGTTTGGGCATCTCATTTATTTTTATTTGAAGTTCTAACCAGTTGATGTTTTTCTAGTTAAATAATGAGAAATTAAAGAGAATTGGGAATAAGTAATATTTGTGTATACTAAGTTAACTAAGTTAACTGCTATTTGAGAGAAACTCTCTTATTTTAAAAAGACTTTGAGAATACTTTAAATAGTGAAACTTTAAAAAAAAAACTTTTTAAAAAAAAAGACTTTGAGAATACTTTAAATAGTAAACTTGTGAAAACCCAATTTTAGCACGTTACTTTGATTGAGATTTAGTAAAGTGAAAGAAATACTCCTTAAAATTGTATTTTTAGCAGTTTTGGTTTAGTGAAAGAGAGTAGATTACACAAGGCAAACACTATTTTATCCATTACAATATTCTGAGCTTGATAAAGATAGCAAGTATTGTCACATACATAAGCCAGCAGTTAGGAATTCTCTAAATAGGGCTAAATTGTACTGCTGAAATCTCTCATTAATGCCCAAACCAATTTGGGCATAATATGAATACTTTCAGAATCAAATTCCTCCTTTTTTCCAAATTTATTTACATTTCTAGATCAGATCAAGATTTCTCAATATTAGTTTCTCATATATAAAATTCAAAAACAAGGCCTGGGCGTGGTGGCTCACACCTGTAATCCTAACACTTTGGGAGGCTGAGGTGGGTGGATCTCTTGAGGTCCAGAGTTTGAGATCAGCCTGGCCACCACAGTGAAACCCCATCTCTACTAAAAATACCAAAATTAGCCAGGCGTGGTGGCATACACCTGTAATCCCAACTGTTAGGGAGGCTGAGACATGAGAATCACTTGAACCCAGGAGATGGAGGTTTCAGTGAGCCGAGATCATGCCACTGCACTCCAGCCTGGTGACAGAGCAAAACTCTGTCTCAAAAAAATAAAATAAATAAAAATATTAGCCATAATGATTTTTATCTTATTCTCATACATGATTAGTAGCTGGTCAGCCTTTGAATTTTATAGATTAGTATCATCTAAGAATATCACTTATCACTAAAGTCCTGATAATAAAAATTAACTTTTATGCATTCTAAGCCCAAATTCAATCTATGTATTATTACACATAGATTTTAGCTTTTGTAACTGCTTGGCTACTTTGATTTGGATACTGAGTTTTTGTCCTTCCAAAATTCTAAAGAGAGTTGAATACGCTGCTTAAAATATTTTACATGCAAATCAACAGGAAGAAGGAAAAGAAAAAAAAATTTTATGAGGTGTCTTTTATCTTTTGATCATAAATAGTAATGCATTCTGGGGGCCAAGCACACCTAACAGTTCTCCAGTGGTTACTTTTACTTTTTGAATGTAATGATACTCAGGATGTATGGAAATCTTTCACCACTAGGTGTCACTGTTTCTTCACAGAATTACTTCCCACGCACAGGTCAAGTTTCCAGTTGTTTTCATTGCATTGCATTTGACTGTTCTGTTTTGTTAATACACTTTAAGTGGTTAGTAAATAATGTTAAAATAAATGTTAGCCATTACTGCATGCAATTACTATTTTAAACTTGTCTTTATTTTACATTTGATGAAACTAAGGCACAGAGGCTATTAGACTATAAGATTTGAACAAAGGAAATGTGATTTCACAGTCATACTTGTTAACTATACTATGAAGTAGGAATACTTTATGAGGTCTTTTATACTTAAACAGTAGAGTTTAAGTTTAGAGTTAGCAATGATGAATGAGTGTCTAAAAACTGTATTCATATTTTTAGTCTTTCTGAGAGTTACTGATGGTGAGCTGTGTATAACTAGAGAGTATTTGTGTGTGTCATATGTGTGTATGAGTGCTAGAAATACTCTGACTGTTTACAGTAGAGGCAGGCTTACATAATCCAGTCATGAAAGCTGAGGCTGAAAATTTCGAGGGGATCCTCCTCTGTCTTAATGAGTCTGTATGCTACAAAAATAACTTTTTGCTTTATTTACTAACTGGTTTTTAATATTAAAATATTATATTTCGGTGCCTTAATAATTGTTGAAACTTGGTTTCTTGGATGGGAGTTACTGTTAATGCATATTCCACAAAATGAGTAAACGAATGAATTAGTGAACATTGTTTTTTTAACTGCTTCTGAAGGTGAGGGTGGTGAGATCATCTCCACCAAGTTCGCAGTTCAAAGCCACACTTCTGGAGTCTTACCAGGTCTATAAACGTTACCAGATGGTTATTCACAAGAACTCACCTGATACGCCAACTGAGAGCCAGGTCAGCAGACCAAGTGTAATTTTCCTATGCAAACAAAGCTTTCCCTTTCACTTAATATCATTTAATGAAATCTTCGTTTATTTGTGCTACATTTTATTTGTGTTCAATTTGCAGCATATCTGCAAAGACGTAAGACTGAATTAATGGACATTCTGAAAGTGCAAATTTGACCGAGTGCCATGTGAAGTGCCAGTCATGTATAATTTCAGAGTGGAAAGTAATATGTAAAGTTATTTAAAGTCACTATTTTGGAGGCATTTATCTAAAAGATAGTAGTAGAGCTCTAAATTAAAATATCTGTGCGGAAAAGGCAGGAAACTTGATATTTTTATGGTAGATATATACTTTGCCTAACAAGATTATAATGCTTTATTTGTATTTGAAAGACTAATGTAGAAAGAATTCATCACAATTAAATTATTCTTTGTTAATCTGTTACCCTTGCATAATTGAGTGGGACTAGAAAAGGAAGTTAGAATGTTTTAATAGAAGAACTCGTATGCTAATAATTTTATAATTTAAATGACCCAAGAAAAATCTGGAAGGGAAAAAAAAGCTTAAAACAGTATAAATAGAGGTGACAAAAGTAGTGATCATGACCACTGTTAGCAACAATATTGACTCTAGTTTATGCAGAAAACTACAATAGGTGGATAGAGGAACAAACAACAACAAATTGTTGGCTCTTGGCTCTTACGAGTTTGACATTTTCCTAAGTTTTAGTACAGTGGTAGCACTTCAGTCTCTGCACCTGTCCACCCAGTCTGAGGTTTCTTTTCATGACAAATTCCAGTTTGAGCTTTGGTGTGGATTTGCGGAGATCTTACTCTAGCCTCACCTTCAGAAGCATATCATCAGTTAGAGATGTTTCAATAGCATTTGCTTGTATTTTCCTTGCTCTGAAGGTGAGGTTAGTACCTGTCTCCTTTGAGGACCCAGAGTTCAAGTCGTCCTTCAGCCAGTCCTTTTCTTTGTATGTCAAGTATCAAGTGGCCATACACCAGGATCCGCCTGATGAATGTGGGAAGACTGAGGTATTGTTTGTTAACTGTTGTTTTCTGTGTTGATAAGGTTGTCTGGGAAGAAATATAATATATGCCATTTTCTTGTCAGGGGGAGCTGATGACCCTTTCAGTATGTATTACTGAACTTTTGTGAACACTCACATGAGTCATACATGTGAGCATTTTAAATCCTTAGAAAAAAGGATTGCAAATTCAGAATGTATTCTTAGTGTTTTCTTTAGGAACCTGAATGTAGTGGTTTATATGGTCAGTCATCAACCCTAGGTTAACAGTCATTTACTGAGTACCCATCATGTGCCAGAGTGTGTGCCACAGAACAAAAGGAAAAATCTCTCTCTTCAAGAAACCGATAATCAGTGGGAAAGACAGACAAATAAGCAAAAATATCTTAACAAGCAATGAATCAGAAATACCTACACCTAACCTACCGAACGTCACAGCTTAGCCTCACCTGCTGTAAACGTGCTCAGACTCTTATATCAGCCTACAGTTAAGCAGAATTCTCTAACACAAAGCCTATTTTATAACAGAATGTTGAGTATCTCATGTAGTTTATTGAATACTGTACTGAAAGTGAAAAACAGAATGGTTTTGTACCATTGTAAAGTTGAAAAAGCATAAGTCCAACCATTATAGATTGGGAACCTTCTGTTAGATATAGTATGATTTCATGGGCGTTTATTGAGGGCCTGTCTTTCCCAGGCTGAGAAAATTGAATTGAATGACATGGCATCATTGTCACCGTAGAGCCATTATAAATGTTGGAAGAAAGAGGCCAGCAGATGCAGAAGAATTAGAGTTTTGATTTTTTGACTGCTTTTGTTTTTTTAAGGACATGATGTATAAGCTAAAAAGAGAGAAGTAATACAGAGGACAGAAGTGAATGCTGCCTGTTCCCTGAGAAAGGGCGCACTCCCCAGATCCCCCAAGCCTTCAAGTTAAAGCGTGATCTGCAGACCTGCAGCATCAGCAGTTCCTGGAACACAGAATCTCAGTCCTACTGATTCAGAATCTGCATCTTAAACTAGGTTTCCAAAGGATACATATGCATTTCAGTTTTGAGAAGCTGTGTCCTAGGTTCCCAATCGATCCATGCCACTGTGGGTGGTAGCATTTGTGGATAGTGAGGATTCTGCTAGGCCTAAGACGCTTCCTTGGATATTCTCAGGGGTCTTATTCCTTTCTGAGCTTTCGTCCTTCCTACTGCTCTGGAGATGATGCCTTTGTACCTCTCTGCTTAGCAGGTATGAATAGTTGGGACCAAATGTTCCTGTGGCCCAGTGTGTTTATTCAAGACTTCTCCAGGAGCTTCTCCTGGTAGACTTCAGGCCTCTGGGAAGTCCTTTTATGCAGACTTTGAGCAACACTAAAGGCGTTCATGATCTGAATTGGGGTGGTAGACAGGTATGTAATTGCAGTGCCTTTGGAATTAGCCATTGGATTAGTAGGGAAAGCCAGCTTAGTATGAGACTGGCGGGTAGAGAGGTTTTTCTCAGGGAAGTGACATCTGAGCCAAGTCTGGAAAGATGAGTGGGCGTTTGCCAGGACAAAAAAGGAGAAGGGTGTTCTGGGTAGCCTGACTAGAGTATGCAGAGGTGGAGGGTGAAATTGTATGCCTTTCTGAGGAACTACTATTAATACTTAGTTTAGTATGGCCAGAACATAGGGTACATCTTAGGAGGTAATAGGGGATGAGACTTTTTTTTCTTTTTTCTTTTTCCTTTGAGACAAAGGCTTGCTCTGTTGCCCAGGCTGGAGTGCAGTGGCATGATCTTGGCTCACTGAAACCTCTGCCTCCTGTGTTTAAGCGATTCTCCTGCCTCATCCCTCTGAGTCTCTGGGATTACAGTTGTGTGCCACCATACCCAGCTAATTTTAGTGTTTCTGATAGAGATGGTTTCACCATGTTGGCCAGGTTGGTCTTGAACTCCTGACCTTAGGTGATCCACGCGCCTCAGCCTCCCAAAGTGCTGGGATTACAGGTGTGAGCCACTGCATCTGGCCAAGGGATGAGGCTTTGGAGGTTTAGGTAGGAGCCAGATTTTTAAAAAATAATATTTTAGAAATATTTAAACTACCACATACCTATCACCAATCTTCAACTAGCCTCAGCATGCTGCCATTCTTGTTTATCTTTCCATACTTTTTTGTTATTTTGCTGTACTATTTTATACCAAATCTCAGCTATCATATCATTTTTATATGTAAATCCTTCCATATGTATCTTAACTGACTAAGAATGTGGGATGATCAGATAGGTGCCTTCTAATGTAATCTAGTAAGAAGTATAAAGCACCACCTATGGAATGTTTTTGCTGGAGAAATTGAATCCGGATCTATACAAGCTTCTAGATCTACTGACCAGTTCACAGGAAATATGAGGAGTAAAGGAATATGTTAAAATGACACTTGGGCACTTCTATAAGATAAATTACCTAGTTTCTTTAAATAAACTAATAAACATTTAAAAAGGAAACTCTATTCTTAGATTAAAAGTTATTAATGTAGACATTTAAAAATGTATAACTATAGTACCATTATTATACCCAGTAAAATGTCT